ACACCGCGGACCACCTCTCGATCTCACGATCGGTCCCACTATCGATCTCACTATCGATCTCACTCAACGGGACGCCATAGGACACCACCACAACGGGAGACCTCGGGCCACCACATCGATCTCAGTGTCGATCTCAGTATCGATCTCTATTTGGGACACCACGGGACACCACGGGACACCTCGGGGCACCACATCGATCTCACTATCGATCTCACGATCGATCTCATTCAACGGGACACCACGGGACACCACGGGACACCACGGGACACCACGGCCGCTAGACACCGCGAGCCACCGCCGGACGGACGGACGGACGGACGGGCGGGGGAGAATCATGTGTCTTGACTTCGCCCTAACAACGGCGGACACCACTACGGGACACCACGGGAGAAGAATCATTTGTCTTGACTTCGCCCTAGCAGCGGCGGACACCACGGCACACCACGGCGCGTCCAAGCGGAAACTCAACTGTCAGAAAGATGAGCGCCGCACCGCGGCGAGAGCGGCACTGTTTCCTTTTCGCGGGGGATGCGCGCCCAGTCCAACTCCTGAGACGTTTCTTTGCAACATCGACACCAAGACGCGCATCATGAGAACAGCCACAGCGACGCTGTCTTGCTCTCTCACAAATAGGATTCGGCAGTCGAGCTGGCAAAGTAGGAACATATACGAATAAGGAATAAGAGCAGTGGCGGGTGATGGAGGCTGTAGGCGAAGGAGGGAGGGGTGCAGAAAGTGAGAGAGAGAGAGAGCGAGAGAGAGAGAGAGAGAGAGAAAAAAAAAAGAGGAAGAATAACGGGGGAGGGCATGAGGAGCGAGTGGGGAATGGGGAATAGCAGCGGAAGGGGGACGGGAAGGAAACGACAGAGGAAGCGGCAAACATAAATAGGAGGGAGGCAGGCAAGGACGGTAGAGAAGAAGGGACCAACAGAGAGATTGTGGGGTGGAAGACAGAACAGGAAAAACTGGCGCGGTTTCAAACGGCAACAGCTCGCCCACCTCGCGTGGATTCCGCGACGACGCAGGTGCAAATGCGCTAGCACATTGGGCCTTCCAAGACGGGGCCCTGGGATGTGTAGCCGCAACGCGACGTCGCCCTGACCAGTGCACGTTCGCACCGAAAGCATGCGTTTTATCCTCAGGGCCCCACCTCTCAGGGCCCCATCCTCGAACCCCCGACAAGGATCGGCGGCTCAGAGATGGGACCCTGAGGGATAGGGCCCTAAGAATAGGAAGGGAACCCAGATTGAGTTTACATTGTTTGCGGCCCCTCGCCCTTAGGTCCCGATCCTCGAAGAACAGCAATGAACATAAAGAGAATTGTTCAGAGGTCCGCGCTGACTTCTTGTATCGGCGCTAGGTCCCCTCCACTGGCGCGCCGAGCTTTCCAGGGGCTGCATTGGAGGCGACGCCAGGGGGTTCCAGCGCCGATGCAAGAAATCTGCGCGGACCTCAGAGAAATGATGGTAGTGTAATTTTTTCTCCCTCGAGTTTGAGGCCACTCGTCTTTTAGAGGCCGTCCAGGTGGGGTCCGAGCAGATGGTGTCGACGGGTCGCGCCGCATCGCCGATGCATCGGCGATGCCGGCGGTGCATCAGCGCCAACGGCGTGGAAAAAACGGGCTCCACATCGAGCCGCCTCGTCGATGCATCGGCGATGCATCGGCGATGCGGCGCGATCCTCCGGCCAATTCTACTCAGACCCCATCCAGGATACCCATGGTACGCAGACGGACATACCAGTACAGTCGGACTCGATTAGACAGGACACGCGAGAGGACACAAGACCCTTCCGAGTGCCACATTGCCATGGGAATGTAGGAGGCATAGGTCGCGAGACACAGGACACAAGGGTACCCTTGATTTGGCAGGATCGACCTACTAGTCAGTGCCGACTGTACCATGTGTCCTCCTTCGAGGCGTGCGCGCCCAACGCCAACATATCAGACAACCACTTGTAGTACACCGTTCCCCGAGCGGTGAGCGCCCGCCACGCAGCATGTACTATAAGATTTCTCGGAGCGCGCGTGGCCCGTGAGGGGGGGCGACGCACACATAGTAGAATGAAGGGGCCCTGGGACACACAAATAAATACACACACACACACAAACAACATGATTCCCCATATTTTCCAATATTTTCTGGGTTTTTGTCTCCCCCCCACTTCCCATCTGTTCCAATATTTTCGGAAATCGACGATAAATGGCGTCTGTGTGTGATTTTTGCCTCCTGATAGAAGTATGTCGGTGTGGCGCTGAGCCTAGATCCTCAGAGCCCCATCCTCGAGCCCCCGGACACAGAGACCCCGCGGCTGCGGCCTCCCAGCTCTGCCAGCGCCTCCCTACAGAGAAGGCAGCACAACCTCGGCCGCGGCACCGCGTTGGGCCTGCCGTGGGCGCGCGCACGGGCGGGGGTGCCGTGGGGGCCGGGGGGGTGGCGGCGTCTTCATTGCAAGCCCAGATTCGGTCGGATGACTCTGGTCTGGTATGACTTCGATTTGGACCCGCGGGACACGGACCTGCTAACCCCCAGCTCCGGTGACTCGGGGCTCTGAAGTTTCCCAGCGCTATCCGCCGACCCTTTGGGGTTCATCGGCGTGTGAGATCTTCCCCCTCCCCAAACCCCTCCCCCGGGAGCCCGGTCCGGTCGATTTGGAGGGGAGGGGGTCTGTTCAAATTCCCCGGTTCCTCCGGTTCCCCCGGTTCCCCCGGGGGGGCCATCCGCTCCCGAAAATCCTGCAGGGACTCCTCCGGTGGCCTCGAAATGGCTCCGGGACGCACCACGACGGCTCAAGAGGACCTCCACGTGGCCTTCGGTGGCTCCAAGATTCCCCGATATAGGCTCAGACAGCCCACGATGCCTCCAAGACGCTCCAAGAGGCCCCGAAGGGGCGCTCCAAGAAGGTCCAAAGCAGCGAAAATCATTGACTTTTAGCATCGACGACTTTTCAGCCTGCACGGAGTTGCAGCCAGTCTAAGAGGCCCATAAAGGCCACCCCATGACGTCCCAAAAGGGTCCCCCCCAAAGGCGCCCGAGACGGCCCAAAACGGCGCGCCAAGACGGCCCCAAAGGCTCCCGAATCGGCCCAAAAGAATCGCAAGACGGCTCCCAGAGGGGCCCCAGCGGCGGAGCCCGAACGGAAAATCCGAGCCCTCCATTCCCCCCCCCATAACCCCCCCAAGGACCTCAAACCAGAGATTTGACCCCCCCGGGCCCGGCACGAGCGCATCACGGGACTTTTCCGGGGTCAAGAGGGCCTAAACACGGGCCAAGAAGGCCCCAAGAAGCCTCCAAGACGGCCCACGAGAGCCCCGAGACGCCAAACGACCTCTGCGACTTCGGTCGTCTTCTCTTGCACGCGCCGCTCCTGTCGCCTTTTGATGATTCCCCACCTGTTGCTGCTGCAAATGTTTCGTGTCCGAGAACGCTCCTCCGCACGCCGCGCACGTCACGTCGCACCTCGTTCTCTCGCCCCTCCGCGCATTTCCGACAGAGCCTCTCCCCCGATGAAGTGTGCTTCTTCCGTGCACCCGACATTTTCGCCTGCTCTTTGAACAGCGTCAGACACGTCTTGCTCGAACGCATTTAAGGGGTCGGCGGATGTGGAGTGAGCCTGAAGAATCTTGGGGAAGAGGGATGGCGAGCAACAGGGACGAGTGCGCGAAAGTGGTTCTACCGAGCCTCGTCGAAACACTGTAGCAGACACTGCACCATCAAGAATACGTCTTCCAGACCCTCCATCAGGCGCCCAGACGCCACCCAGAAGCCTTCAATAGGGCCACGAAGACGAGCCCCCTGGACTCCCAAGAGGCCCCTGAGTTACACCCGAGAGCCCCACAACAAGCTCCCGACAAGGCTGGCTGGAATACGCGACGCGCCTCGGATTTTAACTCCGCTCGCACCTCCGCACAACCAACCGGGAGCGGCCTGTGATTGGCCGCGGGCGCCCTCGATAACTTCTGGAGGGCCAGGACAGCTAAAAAACCGGCCGTACCGACTTACTCGGGCCGCCTGGTGTCTGGGAGGACCACCCTCCCCAGCAGATGCCAGAGGACTGCTGCCCTCTGGGGGCGGGTTGAAAAGGATGGGATAAGGCTGGTGAATGATTTCTGTGATTGCCCGGCCCCAGAGATCCCGACCCCCCCCCCCCCGGCAAAATATTCGGTGCCCGCGGGGCCAGAATGGAAACCCAGAGACCGAACTCTACAAAAAAGCAAAGACTTAACAGCTCATGCCGTCGGATATTTTCGGGGGCGGCCAAGAGGGGGGCGTCCACGAGGGGAGGCGCAAATCATGGCCGGCGGCATGTGCGCGGCGAAGAGGGCGGCCAGGGACAGAATGAAATTATAAGAGGCGCCATGAAATCCAGGAACATGTCATGGCCCACGCCGTGATATCCACCCCACCTAGTTATCACCCCCCTCTTGGCCGCCCCCGAGATTTGTGGAGGGAAAGAGGAAGGGAGGGAGGGAAGGAGGGAGGGGATTTCTTTTGACGCTCTCGGACTTTCACGGGCCTCCTCACATCTTCAGAGCCCACCAGGGAAGCTGCCGTCCGCGGCTTTACCTCCGCAAATATCCTGTCGTCGTCATCGGAGAAGTGAACAAAAAAGGGTACCACCCCAGAACGAAGGGCTACCTGGGGAAGGTAACTCGTGAGCGCCTGGAAGGAAGTGTCTGGGGCGAACGGAGGGAACAGTGCGTATTTGTGCTGGGTCCTTGTGGATGGGGGCGGGACCAGAGCGGGAAAGCACGCCTTCGAGCCTGGACTGTGGTGGCATTCGCCGAAGTGAAGGCATTTCCATGGGCCCGTGTGGAGCGTAACTTTCATGTGAGCGATCATCGTGAAGGCGTCGGGGGACGTGTCATTACGCATGGGGAACGGGTGAGTGAAGAGGCGGAGGCAAGGGAAGCGTGGATCGCATGAACCGAAGGTGACAGGGAGAGTGCGCAGAGGGTGACGGGGGAGGGGAGACAAATTAAACAAGGGTTTGGAGAGGACGGGAGAGAGACGCTGCCATGTATGCCCCGAGGTGCACCTGTGCCGATTGCATGCCCTCGCGTGCCTGCGTACGGCCAGGCGAATGAGGCTCGGTATGCGTGTCTGATCTAAGTTCGTTCGCATGCAGCTTCGCCGAAAGAGCCTCGCCCTCGCTGGCGCAGTGTTGACATTCCTTGCCTTGCCAATCGAGACTTGGCCGTCCTCGTCGAGACCACAGCATGAGACCCCGAAGAGAAGGGGCAAGCTGACAGACCATGGCTGATGTCGATGTGGAGAACTGCTTTTTTTCGTGGCTACTACGTCAGAGATACGAAGTCTGCGCCACTGTCTTGCTCCACGAATGTACTCACGAAGCCCGTGTAGCTGTGCATGTTGACCGCACCGTGGAACCAATTGTCGGGGAAGACCGCCAATCACCACTTGCTGGGTGTGACAAAGCATCCAATCTGTCCCTCTCATCATCACACGTTCCCTCCTGCTCTGGCATGCATGACAGAGGAAAATCCTGGACACCAAGGCTTTCCCCGAGAGCAGTTCGTCATCCCGCACTGTTTCCCGAATTATTGATTGACGGCCCCCGGGCCTGAAAAATGCCCTGGCGATACGGAAACGGTGAAGCACTTCAGGACCCTGGCCCCGCAGGAGACTGCCGATCTAAATGACCTGCGGAAACACAATTTCTCAAAGGTCAGCGCGGCTTTCCTGGATTGGCGCTGGACCGCTCTCACTGGCGCGCGGAACGCGCCAAGGGCGGCTCCGGAGGCACCGCCAGGGGGATCCGCCCAGCGGTACGCTCTCGCGGGCGGCTTCGCTTTGGCGGATTGTTGCGGGCTGGTGGCGTGCGTGCCGCGCTGGCTCGCAGGCGTTTGGCTCGAGCCGACGGCCTTGAGACTGTTGTGCCTCTGTCCAGATGGTTTGAGCCAAGAGGCTACGGCTGCTGGTCTCTTTCTCGTCGCGCTCATCCTGCGCCGTTCTCGCGTCCCCCACTGCTCCCGCACTGCCTTGGGGCCAGGCAAGCATCAAGGAGGCGTTTTGCTGCCATCTCGATTGCGCCATTGTCGCCAGGCTCGGCTTGCGTGGCAGGTCCCGTCCCGACCAGACTTGATCCCTCCCAGGCAGTAGCCCCCCCAAACCTGGCACAGGAAAACTCGTCTGCCGTTTCTTGCTCTTCGGGGATGAGCCTCCTGCTTCCCCTCCTCCTCCTCCTCCTCCTTCTCCTCCTCCTTGAACTCCTCCTCCTCTTGGCACGGCGTGAGCCTGTGCGATAGAGCAGCTCCCCAGGTCGGATCACGCACTCCTGCAGGCGAGCGAGCCTCCCCGCGCGCTCCATGAGCGGGCGCACGTCCCGATGCCAGTGCAGCTGGGACAGGTTCGCGATGGCCTCGCGGATCTCCTGGGTGTCCTCGTCCTCGGGCGGCAGCAGCGCAAAGTGCTTGGAGCCGTGGAGCATCTCCACGAAGGCGGCGTTGTGGGTGTGCCAGGGGGCGCCGCTGTGCAGGCCCCCGAGGCCGATGGTGATGGCTGCCCTGGACCCGCTGCAGGACGCGCAGGGAGGCGGCACGTAGACGTCTCGGCTACACGCCGAGAGGGACCCCCGGCATGAGTGACCTCTGGTGCGTGGCCTGCCGCTCGGTGCATGCGATGCGGCAGTAGCGGCCTGAACGCTTGGCTTCATGGGGGAGCAAACAACGGCACAAACATAAACACTCGACGGTTCGCGCGGGCATTGTTGGATCTGCCCTGGGGCGGCGACGGAAGCGCCGCCGCGGGGGCCCAGGCGCCGACCGTCGAAAGGCTAGGTTTGTGCAATTGATTAACTCTTCTTCGATTGTGTTTAGCGACCCCATCTTGATTTGCTATCGAACTCCCCCCCGCCCTCATAAGGCAGTGCGCAAAAGGTCGCTCCCGCAAAGGGCCACCCGTACGCGTGGCCAGATGTCGCGCAGTGGTGCCCACTGCTCCCCGAACTCCCCGAACACGTACCGGTTCTGGGACGGGTCGCGGCTGAGGCTGCGGCCCATCCAATCCTAGGGCTGATCTGAACATCGTTCTTGAACATTTGTTCCAGAACTGTTGACGAACCGTTCGTTTTGCAAATCTCTGTCTCCCTGAATCCAGGCGGCCGTGGACAAGGCCATTTTGGGCTTTGGAGTTCGCGAACTGATGGTTCTGAACCGTGGATGAACAGTTTGCGGCCCATCCAATCCTCGACGTATTCGGATAATAAAGGAGAAACAACGGCACATACATAAATTGTCAGAGCTCCACGCGGACTTTCTGAATATGCGCTGGGCCCAGTCCCTGGCGCGCGGAGCGCGCCAGGGGCGTTGTCAGAGGCGCCGCCAGGAGGGCCCGGCGCAGATCCAAGAATGAAGAGGAAGAAAACGAGGACTACGAACTATGACCAAGACTGCACGCGGCAACGTTGTGTCGATATTGGTCACCGTTGAACTTGGTCAGCACCAATTTATGCATAATCCTCGCGAATCGGCGGCGGCCGACATGAACCGTGACAAAGATCGGCACGGACAAGATCCCGCGACAACTTGGCCATTGTTGGCTACACGCAAGAGTGACCCTGGGTAAGAGTGACCTTTGGTGCGCGGCTTTTTGGGACCGCGGGGGGGCCAAACACAAGCGCGCAAACCGATGCTATCGCTTCTCTTCCAGCCATCTGGGGACCCATCTGTGCCCGCAACAACGGTCACTCCGGCGAAAGGTCACTCTTACGTCTAGTCGACATTGCCCCCGTGCTTCCTCTCTCGAAAGAACCGCGCAAAGCGTCGAACATGTATGTTTATGCCGCGTTTTATCCTTCCTGGACAAGCTCATCGGGGCGATACCCCTGCGGATGCTCCCCGCCTGCGACGGAGTACATGTCGCGTTGCCCATCGTTGCCAGCAGCCGGTCCCGCGCCAGCTCCGCCGCGAGCTCGGCATTCCGCCCCGCGGGGATCTCTGCTCGGCTGCGCGCAGGAGAGGCCCCAGACACTGGAGGTGACCTGTGGTGCTCGGTTTGCCGACCACGGCATGCGGTGCGGCAGTCATGGCCTGCGTGATTGGGTGTGCCCCCCCTCCCTCCTGGCCCCCCCGAAGGACGTGCGCCAATGGTCACTCCAACGAAGGGTCACTCTTACCCGTTGCCGATCTGCGATGTACGGGTAGTCGCCGCAAGGCAGCCTGCCCAACTGCCCGCCCGGAGGCAAAGGGACTCTGAGGATGTTGCACCTCGTCGCCCATGGCTCCGCGCCGTCTGGGCAAACCTTGGCGGCGCACAGAGGGAACCCAGACATCTGACGATGTGTTTTCTAATGCTTGGCCCCAAGGAAGTCCCGACCGCTGCCCTGAGTACTTTTCGGTCAGGGGCCCGTCGAAGCCAAAATCGAGGAAACGCGCCGGGGCTGATCAAAAGCATCTCGTCGAAAATGTGGGAAGCCAGCGGGCGTCCTGGAGGTTCCCTGCCCGAGCGAAGCTTCTCAGCAAGGGAGCGCTTCTATAGTGGCGGAGTGCCGTCTGACAGAGCTCCCCCCGTTGCGCTGCGACCCGACTCCTCCTCCTCCTCCTCCTCCTCCTCCTCCTCCTCCTCCTCCTCCTCCTCCTCCTCCTCCCCCCTCCGCCTCCTCCTCCTCCTCCTCCGCCTCCTCCTCCTCCTCCTCCTTCTCCTCCTCCTCCTCCTCCTCCTCCTCCTCCAGTCGCGGGGATGGCGCCCCCACTGGCTCTTGGGGGCCGCCCAGGGGGACCGTCCACGGTCCAGTGCGCCCCGGGCCAGCCTCGTCTTGAAGCGGGCCCTGGGATGCGACGCGGGCCGAAGGCTGCCCGCGCCCTCTGTGGAGGGGGGCAGAAGGAGGGGAGCAGCAGGGGCGGCCGGGAGGGGAAGGGGAAGGGGCCGGGGGGCGGGGGCCGTCGCGGTGGGCAGGCGGGCAGCCAGGGTGGCCGCGGAAGCCGTGGTCGTGGCGGTCGAGCTGGTAGTGGTCGAGCTGCTGGTCGTCGTGGTGGTCGTGGTGGCCGTGGTAGTCGTGGCGGTCGTGGTTTTAGTGCTGACGGGCGGCCTGGTGGTGGCCGTGGTGCTCGCGGTGATCGTGATGGTCGTTGGTGGTCGTGGTGGTCGTGGTGGTCGTGGCCGTGGCGGTCCAGGCGGCCCAGCTGGTGGTGGTCGTTTGTTAGGGCAAGGTGCAGGTGGTACTTAGAAGGGCTGGCGGTCGGCTTCAACCTAGAAATCACAAGCCAAAGGCTCAGGAAAAAAACGTTTCTTGTATTCCCCAATCCGTTTCATCCACTCCGCCACCAATCCCATCCTCTCTCCTCCATCTCCTCCACCCCCCTCCTCGTTCAACGCTGATCTGTTTTCTCCAATCCCCTGACCTCCAACACGCTTGGTCTCCTTGGCCTACCTCATCGAGACATATCGGGTGAGCTCACGTCCTATCTATCCGCATGACCTTGCGTGTTGGAGGTCAGGGCATTGGCACCCCACAGTGTGCGTCAACTCGGCATGCACGCGCGTGCACCAGTACGTCTACTACAAGTACACGCACACGTGTACAACTGCACAGTACGCACGTAGACTTGCAGGGGTACAAACGCCAGCATGGATGCGCATTGTTTGTCTAAGCGTACCGTATGTATAATTACGCACTTGCATACACATGGCGTCCGCAACTACACAAGCATCGAATGTCAAACCGTTCGTGCCCCCTCACCTTGTCGGAGGCTTTGGGAGGGGAGTCTCGGGCTAAGTTGCAGGCAGGCCCCAAATTGTTCCCGAAAGGCCTTCCGAAGAGGAATCAGAAATCTTTCTCCCGTGGGGCCCCGTGTGTTCATGTTATTTTTTGGCATTTGTCAGGCCCCCGCAGCACCTCGCCATCACTTCTGCTTCTTCTGAAGCAGCTTCTTGCGGGGCCCGCCGATGCCCTTCTGAGCGGGCGCCGTCACCGAGGCGGAGCTCGCCACCTGGATGCTGGATGACTCGACTGTCTCAGCGGCGTCGGACATCTTCTCGCCCTGGCCCCGATGAGGGGCAAACGCGTCGGAGGCCGCGAGCTTCTTCTTCAGGTTCGGCGGGAAGTCCTCGAACTTGCACCGCAACGTCCCAGAGATGCACTTGCTCATCTCGGCCAGCTTCTCGTCAACAGCCTTTATCTCCTGGGCGTCCTTGGCCGTCTCCAGGGCGATCACGTGGGGGAGCACGCAGCAGCAAGACAAGATCTTCGCTGCTTGGTTGTGCATCTCCTCGTACTCCTGCACCTTGTCGTTGAACGTCTTGATCTTGGTCGCTTGCTCACCGGCCCATCCCTTCATGCGGCCTGGCAGCTTCGAGCACATGTTCTTCCAAGTCTGTAGTTGGGTCGCTGCTGAGTTCACCGCTTGGGCGCCCTTGTCGACTTCTTTCGGTTGCGTGGTCTTCGTGAGGTCGGGGTAGCTGGAGAAGTCCCACTTCTCGACTGCTTTGTAGATGCCTGTGTACGCGTGCACGACCTGTTCCATCAAGTCGAGCTGGTTAACCTTGTCAACCATCCTGTTGAATGTCGCATCCCAGTCGGCCCGAAGCTGTCCAATATTGCGTTGGAAGTTCGGCCGAACCGAAACTAGCGTTGGGTGGAGCTTCTCAGCTTCGGTTGCAAGCTGCATCGTGATGGTGAGGTCAAGCAGGCCGCCTGGAGACTTGCCGTTGGCCCGCTTCGCAGTCGCCTCCTCCAAACGCTCGAACGCAGCCTGCGCCTTCAGGACAGGGAGGGCCCCCTCAGGCAGGTCGCTCAAGAACTGGCCGAACAGGTCAGCCAACTTCTTGTGCACCCCGCGGCCGACGACACCCGAGAGAACAGACACGATGCATGCGCCGACATCGTACGTGTCCATAGTGTACAGCAGCTTCACGTATGCAGAGATCTCTGCCGAACTTGTTCCAATCAAGACCCAGTGGCGCGCGGTCTCGGCTGCCGCGTCATTCGATCATGGGAGGTTGACGCAAGCACTCATTGGATCGAAGCCCTTGGTCTTAGTCCACGCCTTGACAAAGAAGCCAACCGCGGCGTCAAAGTCAAATGGCTCCACTGCGTCTTTGCCGTGGTGGATGTCGGCTGCGATGGAGACCGCAGAGGCGCAAGCAATCCGAAGTTCTTGAACTCCGTCGGGAAATTTGAACGGAACCAGCATCGCGAATAACCCCGTCAGGAAAGCCAGGAACTCCAGTGGACTCAAAGCTTCATCTGGGACATCAGGCTGCCTGTCAGAAAGACCGTGCGTGTATAGATCCGAGGCCTCGCGATTGCTGAAGACATATTCGAAGAGAACGGAGAGCTTCTGCTGCTCGCAGAAGGCCATCACGTCGTTGCCGAGATGAATCACCAATCTCGCGAGGTCCCTCATCAGGCCAACATGTTTGCCCCTCATGTGCTCGACGTCAGCGCCGTCCATGCCGACCACGCTCACATCCTCGACGCGCGTCGCGCAGTCGCCGAACACGGCCCCGAGCTGCTTGATCGTCGCCACAGTGTCGACGTCTTCCATGGCGTCGAACAGCACGGGATAGGAAGCCTCAGGGCCTTCCTTCAGCGCCCCCTCAAAAGCCTCAACCAGCTGCTGCACCTTCTCGAAAGCCTCGCCCTGGCACATGCTTGTGACGCGGGAGAACTCGCTGTGAATGTGCACCATCTTATCCCAAGCCGTCTTGCCGTGTTGCACTTGCATGCCGCAGATCCATCTGGTTTGAGCTTTCAGGCGAGGGCTTACCTTGGCAGCGTTCTCCACGACATTGATGAAGATCTGGCGAATCGACCTCTCGATGCTGTCAACGTCACCCGACTCATGCTTCAAAGAAGCGGCCAGCATGAGGCCGATCGAGCGGACAGTGTACATGTCGACCCACGCTTGAGGATACCAACCATTCTCCAGCATTTTGAAAGGGGCCGTGACGTCTACCGCCTCGATGGGGGCAGTCGCCATGCACGGGAGGTGCGCGCTCAGGAGTTGCATGACGCCGACGATCAGCTTCACGTCGCTGGACTTCAACAGCTTGTCTGCCA